CTCACATTTTATTTTATTTGTTTACTTACAGAACATTTCCTTTACACCTGAACATGACATCTAATTGCGTTCCAAATTGGACCAGGCCATTTTGTTTCATTGTATTTCTTAGAGTATGAGTTTAAAATGCTTTTTTTTTGTTGGGTGAAACTCAGCTGTGTTTGGCAAAGCCACAGGCATTTTGCAAGGTTGTGGAGCAGAAGTTCTGGGAGAGGGCAAGGAGGGGCCTGGTCTCAGGTGAAAAGTGTTTCTGGCACCCTCCCCTCTCCACATGGGCCTGGGGCTTCCACGCAAATCACCTCTCATGCAGCCACGCCAGGGCCGGTGACTGTGGCCGTGGTCTTGAGTGTATCAGAGAGGGTGAGGATGGGGCAGGCCAAGGTTTAGATCCGTTGTACAAAGAGTCCCTATGAGTCTCAGTGAAAATCTACTCTCAGCGACTGCTCCAGAATATTGAAGAGCAATGATGTTACTCGAGAGACTAAGGTGCACCTGATTTAGTCAATGAGCTTTGTAATTATTTCCTAAGCATCAGACAGCTGGACAATGACTAGGGAGGATAGAAGGAGAATTGATGCCTTCGAGCTGTGGTGCTGGAGAAGAGTATTGAATATACTATGGATGGAGAGAATAAACATATTCATCCTGGAGAGAGTGAAACCAGGCTGCTCCTTGAAGGCAAGGATTCTGATGCTTCCTCTGATATACTCTGGACATGTTGCAAGGAGAGACCAGTCCTTGAAGAGGGATTTCATGCTTGGGAGGGTGGAGGGACAGCGCAGGAGGGGAAGACCCTGGATGAGATGGATTGACTCAGTGACTGGGGTCATGGGGGGTGTCAGAGACTCCAGGACACACAACAACTACATCAGTGTCTCCTTGTTTTCCTTGAAGGCTTCTGTTTCTTGATCTCTGCACAGATGCCACGTGAGCACAGTGAAGTCTTCTGCGACTCCCATTCTTCCTAATATTATCTGTAATTTTATGATGATCCACACCGTCTAATGCCTTTGCACCAGCAATAAAACACAGGCCAACATCTCGCTGGTCACCTGTGCTTTCCGCCTAGGTCCCTCCGACGTCAGCAAGGCTGTCTCTCGTCCCAGGGCCTCACGGGGATCTGGAAAGTATTTCCGGCAGTGGATGGCCAGGGAGCTGGACAGTTGTGAAATGTCCGGCCACCCTTCCACCCACTGGCCAAGCACGTGCCTTTGGCCCTGGCTGGCCGGGAGATCTGTCTCCTCCCTCAGCCACCCCTGATTGAACTTCCCCCTGTCCTGGCTGGAACAGCGGCCTTACCACAGTGCTCTCTGTCCACTGGCTACAGAAATTCCTCATGTAAAGCGGGCTTCTCCCCAGAGGGCTGACCTCCTGGACCCCTTCCTTCCATGCAATGGGACAGTGCAGGGACGCTGGACAGAGGGGGACATGGACACACTATCTCAGGGTGAGCTGCGTCTCCTCAAGTCCATTTCCCATCTGTCCCCTCATTCATTCCCCCACACTTTCTCTCAGCCACTTGTCCATTCATTCACTCATTCCTTCCTTCCTCAAATTGTTCATGTGTCATCAAGTCACTCGTGATTTCTAGCCACCCTGTGGACAGCAGCCTTAAACCCTGCTCTACCCTGAGCCAACCTCATTGTCTCTGACACACCTACCCCGATGACCCCAGTCACTGAGTCAATCCATCTCATCCAGGGTCTTCCTCTCTTGCACTGTCCCTCCACCTTCCCAAGCTTGACGTCCTTCTCCAAGGGCTGGTCCCTCCTTGCAGCACGTCCAAAGTATGTCAGACGAAGCTTCAGAATCCTTGCCTCCAAGGAGCAGCCTGGTTTCACACTCTCTAGGATGAACCTGTTTGTTCTCGGTCCGCAGTATGTTCAATACTTTTCTCCAGCACCACAGCTCCAGGGCATTGATTCTTCTGTCACCCTTAGTCATTGTCCAGCTCATCAATGCATAACCAGTGATGGCACAAACCCTAGATCAGGCGCACCTTAGTCTCTAGAATGACATCGTTGCTCTTCAGGACTCCGGAGAGGTGCCTGACAGCAGAGAATCTGTCTTCTGAAATCCTGGCTGCTGGTGATGTCAGGAATTCATTCACTCCTGTCGTCACTGACGCATTCGTTTACTCCCACACTCCCTCATTGATTCCTGCAGTCATCTGTTCATGCATTTTCTCTGTCAGCGACCCCCTACCTTCCCCGCAGTCATTCATTTCCCCATCACTCACTCCTGCAGACATCAATTCATTCCTTCAGTCCTGCTGTCGTCATTTAGTCATGCATTCCCCCCAGCTCCATTTAATCTCACAGTCACTCGCTCGTGCATTTCTCCCCGGGGTCATTTGTTCACGCATGAAGCCACAGTCTCTTCGTGCATCCACGCCCGCACTGCTCTCGCTTCAGTCCCTCCGACTGTCGCTCAGGGATCCATCAGCTCATTCATTCATTCACCCCCTCAGTCCCTCACTCAGTCACATAGACATTTGTTTCACACTCACACACCCGCGCACCCCAGGCCGTGTGCGTCGCACGCATGCATGCATCCTTCATTCATTGCCTCCAGCTGTGCTCGTGCGCCCTTGCGCGCGCGCGCGCGCACACACACACACACACACACACACACACACACGGTGGGACACAGGGGGGGCACGAGCACGCGCACACACATTCTCACGCCCCTTCACTCTTTCCTCGCCCCCCTCCCCTGACCATGGAGATCACGTGCCCAAGCCCTGCGGTCCTGACTGGCCCCAGCACGTTTGGAGCGTGGCCTCTCGCCTGGCAGCAGCCCTGGCCTCGTGCCCAGAAGCAAACATTGACTTTGCGGGGCGGGGGTGGGGGGGAGATGGCCAAGTAAAGGTTAAATGTCCCAACAGAGACAGTGGCGAGGGCCACTGGACAGGCGGGGGGCGGGGCGCGAGAGGACTGGCCGGTCCTCCCCTCCCCCTGGGGTGGGGGGCGGGGACGCGGCGGGGGACCAGGACCCCTCGCCAAGTAGGCGGGGCGCGCTTCCGGGGAGGGGTGGCCCGCCAATCGCGAGGCGTGGCCGGGGGCCCTGACAGAGGCTGCGGAGCCCTGCAGGTGAGGGGTACGTGGTGTGGGGGTGAGGTTCCTGGGACGGGGGGGGCGCCGAACGCGGAGGTGTCTGGAGCGCCCGCAAAAGCTCGGTGTCATTCTTGAAGCTTCGCATGGGAAGCAGGGTTGGCTCTAGGCGTGCGCCCTCTGGAGAGGACCAGCTCGGGCAGCTCTGTCCTGGCTGGGGAGGCTGAGGGGTGGCCGCGGCGAGGCGTGGGGCGGGGAGCTGGGAGCCACAGCTCGGCACTCTGGGGCGTGCGACGCCTGGGGCACCTTCAGGGGCGTCCGGGCGCAGAGGGGAGCTGGTGTGGTGTCGCGGCATGGGCAGAAACCCAGGGTTTGGTCTCGTGCTGGGAGGTCTCCAGGGACAGAGGTTGTGTCTGTGCCCAGGGACCCGAGCGAGGGTCTCGGGCTGGGCAGAGGGTTGGGGGAGATCTGACACAGGAAGGATCTCTGGCATGAGGTGCCCAGGCGAGGAGGTGCTGGAAGGGTTTGAAGTCGAGGGTCTCGCAGGAGTGCGCTCTGCAGCCACGCTGTCCCTTACAGGCCCCTCCACACCACCGGAGAGGCCCAGCACGTCCACATCCCGCGCGCCCAGAGCGTAGGCGCCAAGAACATGTTGGGTGAGTCTGAAACGCCCCCTTCCTGGCCCCAGTGCAGTCCTGTGCGCGTCCCCAAACCTGGAGGCCCGTGCGTAAACTCCAAAGCCCCATAGTTTGCCTTTCGGAGGTGTCCCTGACCCCCACTCCTTGGTCTGGGGAACTAGAAGGGACCCCTGAGTTGAGGTAGTAGGCATAGAATTGTCCCATGAGCTGGTCGGGGCAGCTGTGGGTTCCAGCATGTCGCGGGGAGTGGGGGTAGAAATTTCCTAATTGTCCCTTAACTGGGGAAAAAAGTCCTTGGAAGCTAAGTGTGTGGTGAAAGACTTCGAAGCCGTAGGGAATTTTCTTGGTCACTGGAAAATAATGTGGCAGGACTATGTCTGCCCCTGGAAGGGTTTACAGCCTCAGAAAAAGCCCCACAAGCCGGGTTCCACTTGAGGGCAGTGGGCTTTTTCATGGGCCAGGCAAAGCAGAAATGCCCCATAGTGTCTCCGAGGCTGTGAATCTTTCCAGAAGCAGGCGGCCTCAACTTTCTCCCTGGAAGCGGCTGGTGGGTTCAAACCCCTGACCTTGTGGTGACAGCTGAGTGTGTCCCCCCTGTGCCAGCAGGGCTCCTGAGAGTCTAGATACATAGTATCTCTCTCGTAGCCTCTCCTGAGGGTCTAGATACAGAGTATCTCTCTAGTAGCCTCTCCTGAGAGTCTAGATACATAGTATCTCTCTAGTAGCCTCTGTGTGTCACTGTACACACACAGTGTGGAGGGAAGGCAGGTCTCTCCTAGAGTCGACCAGGTGTGAGATACAGTGTCACTAGCTGGGATTCATTTGTGTCTGACCCCCAGAGACCATGCAGGACAGAACAGTCGTAAGGCGCTGTGTTGTGCTGTAGAACGGGGTTGTGGTGCATTGCATCGCGTCTGCTGTGCTGGTGTAGTGAGCCTTTGTTGTGTATCTTCATGTTGTTGCAATGAAATATTTGATAAACTGTATGTATGGTAATGGGATCTTGTAGAGTGGTATTGTGCTGTGGTCTTGTGAGGTACTGTCGCGGTAGAGAATTACAGGACTGTGTTTCAGAGTTACAGGGTATCATGTTGCGGCATTGTGTGGCACGGTTGTGGGACATTGTAGCTTGCATTGTACCATCGTATCCCGTGACGTTACAGGGTTTCAGTGTTGTAGTGTGCTGAAGTCCAGCACCCGAGAATTGTACTAAAATCTGAGAGGGGAGAGAGAGAGCAAAGGCTCCCTTCACCCCGTCCACCCCGTGAGCTCCTCGGGAGTGTGACCTTGTGTCTTTGTCCACCTCACAGTAGCTGACCAGGCCTTCGTCACGCTGGCCACCAATGATGTGTACTGCCAGGGGGCGCTGGTCCTCGGACAGTCACTGCGGAACCACAGGGCCACCAGGAGGCTGGTGGTGCTGATCACACCCCAGGTGTCCCACCCGCTCAGGTAAGATAACAGGGGTCCCACTTGATCAGGTAAAATGACGGGTGTCCCACCTCCTCAGGTACGATGACAGCGGTCTCACCTGATCAGGTAAGATGTCAAATGTCACACTTGCTCACATAAGATGACAGGTGTCCCACCTGCTCAGGTAAGATTTCAGGGTTCCCACCTGATCAGGTAAGATGACAGGTGTCCCACCTGCTCAGGTAAGATGACAGGTGTCCCACCTGATCAGGTAAGATGACAGGTGTCCCACCTGATCAGGTAAGATGACAGGTGTCCCACTTTCTCAGGTGAGATGACAGCGATCTCACCTGATCAGGTAAGATGTTGAATGTCCCACTTGCTCACGTAAGATGACAGGGGTCCCACCTGATCAGGTAAGATGAAAGGTGTCCCACCCACCCAGGTAAAATGACAGGGAACCCACCTGCTCAGGTAAGAGGTCAGGGGTTCCACCTGCTCAAGTAAGATGACAGAGGTCCCACCCACTCAGGTAAGATGACAGGTGTCCCACCTGCTCAGGTGAGATGTCAGGGGTCCCACCTGCTCAGGTAAGATGACAGGTGTCCTGCTCAGGTAACATTTCGGGTGTCCCACCTGACTTCTCCACCTCATACAAGTTCACCTAACACTCTTAAGAACTCTCAGGCATTGTCCTGATGAATGTGCCTTTAAAACAAATAAAAAATACACTATTTCTCTTCTGAGAATCATTGACAGTTATAGTTTGCTATCTTGACTCTGTATAACTGCAATGAGTGACAATGTGTGTGTGTGTGTGTGTGTGTGTGTGTGTGTGTGTGTGAGAGAGAGAGAGAGAGAGAGAGAGAGAGTTTGTCCATCCTGTTTATTGTCAAATACTATTCCACTGTACAGGCAGGTCACAGGTAGAGGATAGACGCACCTGTAGACAGGTGTGCAGCACGTTGGGTTACTGTGGATGGCGCTGTTAGACATCTTATGTACAAAATTATTTCATAGACACGTGTATTCCACACTGAAATATGTAGCCATATCTCTTTGCTTTGAATCACTTTGGAAAAGTCCTTGACACCAGATTGGCCCCATGCAAAACATCTTTTGATTTCTTTACTGACCACCATGGGTGTTCATTTTGGATCCAAATAAAACGAAATCATTAACTTGATGACATTGTATTGCATTTTTATATTATTGGGGCTTTTAAATTTTTTTCTTTCTCTTTCCCTTCCCACTTCTAGTCACCATCCAAGTATTTAACTCTTAAAAATGTAAACTTTCTTTTTTTTAATTAATATTCTTTTTTGTGTGTACCGTCAAATCGGATCTGACAGGTACAGGAGGAGATCGCCCCTCCTTCTCCAGCAGAGCATCTGGTGGATTCAAACCGCGTACCTCTGGGATTACAGTGCAGCTTCTTGCCAATAGGCCACCAGAGTGCCGAGATTTAACTATTTAAAGTCTTTTGCAGCAAATATAAGACTAAACTCACTGTTACCAGAGACTTCTACAGAGCAAGGCTGTCAGAGTAGAGACTAAGGTGTGCCTGCCACAAGCCATGGTATCCGTGGCCTGCCAAAAGTACAAACAGATAATAAATATCTTGGAAAAAGGGCAACCAGGGTGCCTTTTGGAGGCCAGGATGGCGAGACTTGGTCTCACAGCCTTTGGACATGGGTTCAAGAGGGGACAGTCTTGGGAGAAGGACATCCTGCTGGGGAAGGTGGAGGGTCAGAGACAGAGAGGAAGGCCCTCCATGAGACAGATGGACAGAGTGACCACAGACATGGACTGGAACATGTCAGAGAGGGTCAGGACAGGACAGGGCTCACAGAGTTGCTAGGAGTCATACTTGACTCGATGGTACCTCTTATAAACAACCACAGTGAAATTAGAGTAGCAAGACAGATTCAATGCTTTATGTTTGATGTGTGTGTGTGTGTGTGTGTGTATTCCTCTAGCCCAGCCCTGCATACCTCTCTCTGCAGGAACGTCCTCTCGAGAGTCTTTGACGAGGTCATCCAGGTGCACCCCATAGACAGCGCGGACTACACACACCTGGCTTTGCTCAAGAGACCAGACCTGGGCGTCAGCCTGACCAAGCTGCACGGCTGGATGCTTACTCAGTACAGCAAGTGTGTCTTCCTGGATGCGGACACGCTGGTGAGCCCTGGGGGAAGGACGCTGGACAGCCCTGGGGCTCTTCCAAGACCAGGGCACAGGCCCTTCCTGGCTGGAGGTACCCACAGAATAAAGTACACCCCAGGAGTGCCTCTGAAGTGTGGTGCCTACGGCCAAGTACCTGCTTATCAGGGAAGAGATCAGAGGTTCAAATGCACCTAGAACTGCCTCAGAATACAAGCCTGCTATCGTCGTCCTGAAAGGAGAGGGGCTTAAAAAAAAATTAAAATCACAAGGACAATAATTGATTCCTGCTGCATGAGGGATTGTTGAGATGTGGGTGGAAATTGATGTGACAGAAGACAATGTGTGGTGGGGGGAGTTAGTAGGGGAAAGCTGCCTATTTTCTAAGGAGAGAGAAAGAGAGACAGACTGAGGGAGACAGGGAGGGAGAGAGAGAGAGAGAGACAGAAAGAGAGAGAGAAAGAAAAAGACAGTAAGAGAAAGAAAAGAAAGAATATCAGTGATGGAAGGAGACAGGGAAAGGGAGGGAAGAAATAAGAAAGAATAAAAAAATTAAAAAGACAGCAACAGGTCTCCTAAGGATGACAGACGATGAATTGATGCCTTTGAGCTGTGGTGTTGGAGAAGATTGTTGAATATACCATGGACTGTTAAGAGAACAAACAGGTTCATCCTGGAGAGGGTGAAGCCAGGCTGCTCCTTGGAGGCAAGGATTCTGAGGCTTCGTCTGACATAGTTTGGATATGTTGCCAGGAGGGACGGGTCCTTGGAGAGGGACATCATGTTTGGGAGGGTGGAGGGACAGCGAAGGAGGGGAAGACCCTCAATGAGATGGATTGATTCAGTGACTTGGATCATGGGCGTAGGTGTGTAGGAGACAGTGCGATTGGCACAGGATAGAGCAGAGTTTAGGCCTATTGTACATAGGGTCGCTATGAGTCGCACACGACTCAATGACACATCACAACAACAACAACAAGGAAAGATTCACACATAGAATTAGTTTTGGAGGATTAATGGAGAAATGAGTTATACTTGACGCCACATAACAACAACATTACGGTGGGTCATTAAGTAAGTAGGAACTGCTTATTCCTGCCATGGGCTGACCTGACTATGGAACAAAAAGAGATGTGGATTTTTGTTTTGTTTTTTTTTTTTTAATTTGAAAGGAACTGACTCCTAGCAGACCCACCATTGGGTTTTTGAGGCTGTATATCCCATGGAGAGGAGACTGCCCATCTTTTTCCTGCAGGGGCTCTATGAGGAGAAATATGGGGTCAGGATTGGTGGAAGATCTATTAACAATCTACGTTCTGCAGATGACACAACCCTGCTTGCTGAAACTGAGGAGGACCTCATGCACTTGCTGCGAAGGGTCAAGGACTGCAGCCTTCAGTATGGACTGAGGCTCAATGTCAAGAAGACAAAGATTCTCACCACTGGACCAATTGGCAGCGTCAGGATGGATGGCGAAGAGATTGAGATTGTTCACAGCTTCAGTTTGCTTAGCTCCACGGTCAACACTCTTGGCACCAGCAGTCAGGAAATCAAAAAGTGTATCGCAATGGGAAAGTCTGCTGTTAGGGACCTCTCTAAGGTACTCAGGAGCAACGGTGTCTCTCTGGAGACTAAGGTGCACCTGATACAGGCCATGGTCTTTGCAATCACTTGTTATGCATCAGAGAGTTGGACAATGACTAGGGAGGACAGAAGGAGAGTGGATGCTTTTGAGCTGTGGTGCTGGAGAAGGGTACTGAATGTACCATGGACTGCCAGGAAAGCAAACAGATTCATCTTGGAGAGGATTAAACCAAGCTGCTCCTTGGAGGCAAGGATTCTGGGGCTTCGTCTGACATACTTTGGACATGTTGCCAGGAGGGACGGGTCCTTGGAGAGGGGCATCATGCTTGGGAAGGGTGGAGGGACAGCGCAGGAGGGGAAGACCCTCTATGAGGTGGATTGATTCGGTGACTGGGGTAATCGGGATGGGTGTGTCAGAGGCGGTGCGGTTGGTGCAGGATAGAGCAGGGTTTAGGGCTGTTGTGCATAGGGTCTCTATGAGTCACAAACGACTCGACGGCACATAACAATAACACAACAACATTTTACTTGGCAACTTGCTTAAAACACTGGGCCTTGAGGGCTGCTCCCGACCAGAGGAAGGAAGAAATGGCACGTGGGTTCCCATCAATGGTGCCCCTTAAAGCTCTCGTGCCGTTTCTTCCCCACGCACCTGAGCTGACAGGTGTGTGGGGCCCTGTTCCTGACCACCTCGCTCTTCTTCTACGTCCACAGGTGCTGTCGAACATCGACGAGCTGTTTGACAGGAGGGAGCTGTCGGCGGCCCCCGATCCCGGCTGGCCGGATTGCTTCAACAGTGGGGTCTTCGTCTTCCAGCCGTCCCTGGGCACCTACGGCCGCCTGCTTCAGCACGCCGCTGACCACGGAAGCTTTGACGGTGAGGAGGGGCTCGGAGGCGTGCGGAGCAGACGGATCTGGTATCTGTCTCACCCATGCCTCGCTGCTTTCCATGCCACCGGTGCTGATAATAAACACAGGAGGTCGAAAGGGGGTGGCATTGTTGAACAGAATTCTCTTACTGGCTTAGAAATTCAAGTGTAGACAGAACCAGCTTCTTGATCTATTCCAGCTTCTACAGTTACTGATGTTCGTTGCTCTTCAGTAGATTCTGACTCTTGGTGACCCCTTGTATCACAGGTCTGAGCCCTGTCCCTTCCTGTCCAGTGGGGTCCGTGATGGTGGGTGGAAGGGCTGCTCTGGGCCCTGGACCACACGGTCCTAATCCTGTGCTGGGGTCCCTTTGCAGGAGCTGATCAAGGTCTCCTAAACAGCTTCTTCAGTGACTGGTCCACAGCGGATATCCACAAGCACCTGCCCTTTATCTATAACCTGGGCAGCAGCCTGGCGTACACGTATAGCCCGGCTTTCAGACGGTGAGTCCTCCGGCCGCGCCCACCCCACACCCCGTGTGATCCCCGAACCTCCTCCTTTCCAGGCAGTCCCCAGCCTCACATCCTCCTCCTCTGGGATATTCTGCCATCCCTCACTGCACACAGGGACGTGGGGCTCTATGGGGTTACCAGGGGCTCTGACATTCCAAAGGCGACGGCCAGACCTTTCTCCCTCGTCACCTCCAAGTGCCCTGGAAACTCTGTCTTTTTCTGTTACCCTTGGATGCTGAGTGCACACCGCAGGGCATCCCTGTCAGTGGGCACGTTAGCTATAAGGCCCTGGTGTCACTGAGGAATAAGCCTTCAGCTGCTGAGAAAAAGGTCAGTAGTTCAAAGCCATGAGCTGCTCCGAGGGACAAGGAAGAGGCCGTCTGCTTCTGGAAAGATTCACAGCCTCGCAGACCCCATGGGGCAGCTCTGATCTGTCCTGCAGGGCCGCTGGGAGTCAGACACCAATGAATCCCAGCTGGTGACACTGTATCTCATGCCTGCTCCACTCTTGGAGAGACCTGCCTTCCCTACACACTGTGTGTGTGCACAGTGACACACAGAGGCTACTAGAGAGATACTATGTATCTAGACTCTCAGGAGAGACTACTAGAGAGATACTATGTATCTAGACTCTCAGGAGAGGCTACTAGAGAGATACTATGTATCTAGACTCTCAGGAGCCCTGCTGGCACAGGGGGGACACACTCAGCTGTCACCACAAGGTCAGGGGTTTGAACCCACCACCCGCTCAGAGGGGGAAAGTGGAGGCCGTCT